CCTTATTAAATTATTTATATATAATAAAAGTTAATTTATTAATTAAAAAAGTTTGAGGTTATTGAGTTATTCTCGCATTCTCGTAAATCACAGGGGTTCTCGTTTGAACCTCCACCTATATATATATATATATATATATATAAGAGCTCAGCGTTAGAACCCTTGCATCCCAACCTTATCTTTTATACAAATGTACACGTTAACCCAAAAAAAAATAATCATGAAAATGCATATATGAACCCATGTTTATTTGCGTACACTTTTACCAATTATTCATATATGTATACATGTATGTAGTACGTACGTGTGTACATGTATATGTGTGTGTATCTTATGTAGGTTGGTAGAGAGAGAGAGAGAGAAAGGTTCCTATTTTCATCGAGAACCTGGGAACTATCGAGAGCGTGTCAAAATGTCCATATCCATCATGAATACGACCGTCAACTTTTTACAACATTCATCATGATTATGGTTACATGGCACGTTCTCAATAGTTTCCCGGTCCTCAATAAAAACTAATCAAGTTCCCAATGGAACATGCCCTATACCTATCTAAGGTGCAAGTTCATTTAGGACCTTAACTATTTTAGGAAGGGGGTTGATATCCCCACCTTCTTACGTCACTTCCCACCCTCTCCTCCTCACATCTTTCCCTCACTCACACCCTCACATTCACCGAATTTTTTAAAATTTTAATTTTAAATTTACATTTCATACCCCTGTAATTAGATAATTAATTTACTTTATATCATTTCTTTTTAAAATTTTCATTTTACACCCTTATCAAATTAACACACATAATTATATATCAATTATAACATGTTTAAAAAATACATTTTTATTTTAACAAATTACATCATTATAATCGTCTCGTTAATACCTTCGAAATGAGTCCAATATTGAATAGTTTTTGAATTAATTATATTATTATATATTATATATAATATGAAAAAATATTTTTAATATTGATATTTTATACTTTTATAATTATTTATTTAATTTATAGTACATAATTTACTTTTTCAATTTTCGTTTTACACCATTATCACATTGAAAAACATAATTTTATATTAACTAAAATTAGATCTAACAATGAAATTAACCTCTCAGGAAGCATTCTCATACCATTTATTCATCTTGTTCATCTTAACAAGTTACACTGTTATAATCATCTCGTTAATACCTTCGAAATAAGTCCAATATTAAATAGTTTTGGACTTAATTATATTATTATATATTATATATACTATGAAAAAATATTTTTAATATTTACGATTTATACTCTTATAGTTATTTATTTAATTTATGATACATCATTTATTTTCACACCATTATCACATTAAAATAATTTTCTACTTTGAGTTGGGTTCAAATAATAGTAACCCAATATCAATCCAATACCTACGGTTTGAAAATTTTACAACTCGATTAGACATCGGGTTGCTTCGGGTTA